GGCATCCTGCCTCGCGCCCGTCCGGCTGCGGGCGCAGGGCTGCCTGCGCCGCCCCCCGCCTCGGCACCTCACAGGCTGAAATGTCAGCCTTTCTGCTAATGGCAGCGTGTTTCAAAGACTTATTTCAATTTGCTTGAATGGTTTGTGGTCACATCAAGGAGAGGGCAGTTGGGAAGCGGAGCTCTCCGTTCACAAGCATGTTAAGTAAAATTCAACACTTTTCTGCCATCCTGGAAAGGCAATTACATACCTCGGCTCAAATAACGAGTACTGCTGCCAGCATTAAGAAAATGTTTTAATCAAAAAAGCACCAACTGCCACCTAATGATGTACATACAGGATTGAATTCGTCTCTGGCATAAGAAGAGACTGAAACCTGAGAGAAGGCTGTGCCTTTCCACACTGAGCGAGTTCCTCGCTCGAGGGTTTGTCCAACACGGTAAGCTCTTTTTGGGGAATCAAACCGCTTAACTAAAATGGTTTTAATAGCTGAAATGTAACGCATTATTATGTCATGTAAGTAAGTTTGTTTTAAATGAGGACAACGGAGAAATTCTACAAGATTTTGCACTTCCCAGCGTGTTTATTGTGGGCCTTTTTGGAAGGTAAACCTTCCTTTCTGCTAGTTTGCTGTTGCTTACAAAGAGGAGTAAAGGAAACCTCAAGCCCAGTATTAAAATAAAAAAATCAAATCTAGCCACATGAAGAGAGAGCCTGGAAAGGCCGCGGAGGGGATGTGAATACTTGCGGGACAAAGCGTTGGCTGCAGCTGTTACTTAGCAACTCGGGGCCCAGGCAGATCCTGAACTGTAAACTAGGCAAACCTGTTTGCAGGAGAAACGGGAGGAGAGGACTGCTCTGCTGTAAACAAACGGAAGGGACAAAAAGCCTATTCTTCCTTCATGAAGGAGCTCACTGTTAATTTTGACTATGCCTGTGACTGACATTCTTTTAAATAGAAAAAGTGTGTAAATATACGCTAAAAAGCAAAGCAATTTTCTTCGAACTGTCCACCTAGCGCACGGCTCGGTCATCGCCGGGATCCTAGGGACGGTTTATATACCTGATACGCTGATCCATTTGGTGCAGGCATTCGATGCCCTCACATGAACTGTTACGTACTGAAATATGCTGTACTATCCTCATGAGCGCCATTAGTGACCAGATAGGTAGGTTAGGTGGAAATGGGACTACTAACTCTTTTCTGTGAATAAAGGACCATACAACTTCTTTCCCATTCAGGAGGAGATGCTTTTTATTAACCTGTCCAAAGCTGGTTATAAATACCTTCCCCGCTCTTTGTGGACTCGAGCGATAAGGCGAGCTCAGGTGTTCCCCAACTGTGATCTACAGACCACCGGCAGTTAAGAAGGTTGTAGTAGGCGATTATATTTTCATTATGGTTCTCAGTTAATGTTTCATGTGCACGGAAGTGCGCAGAAGGTTTTGAGGCCTGATGGGGGCCCACTGGTGCAGGAAACTCGAGCACAACTGCCCTAGATCACGTTACGAAATAACGGCGTGCATGCAGCCAGCGATGGTCCAAATTCTGATCCGCACTGCGGGAAACGAGAAGTAACACCGCCGTTGACGTCCACGGACTTCTGCATTTATGAAGCTGGGGTCTGTGATGAGCAAGGTCAAGAGGAAGGCAAACGGGCAGGTGAAATCAAACTAATTCCCAAACTGCCTGTTACCCCTCCGCGATAAGTTTCAGGAAGGTTTTAAGCGGGCTTTTTTTCTGTAGGCTGGTGTTATATTCACCGTGAGAGCGGCTCCAAGGCTCAGCTCTAGCAGTTGCAGAAGCGATGCCAAGGCCGATCCGTGACGGAACAGCACGGGGGTCATTTTGTAAGGACATATACACGCGCACGCACGTATAAAAGCAACCCTATATGACTGTTTTAACTTCACTTAAAATAACTCATTTTTCTATTTAGGAGCTTGCAAAGAAATCTTTAAAAATGGGAAAGTATTCCTCTGGGCTTTCTTCTTTTTTCCCTCTTCTTTTCCCAGGCCTTGACGGACCTGTTTGCAAACAGCGCTAGAGTGACATCGTCTGGTACGCTCACACCACCGTCGGCGTCTCCATACGGCCCGAGGAGCTCCGAAAATATAAGAGCGGGGCTGGGGGCGCGGAGCGGACGCAGCCGGGACTTGGGCGGCAAGACGGGCGGAAAATAAACCCGGATTTGTCCAAGAAGCGAAACGGCATTATTTAAGGACAGACTTTTTTTTTCCCCCCGGTCTCTGACCCGAAGATAAAGGAGGCACAAAACGGCCGTAATGCAGCGGCTTCGCTAAGGGCGCGGCGGGACCTTCTGCGCTTTTAACGTCCAGTTTCAGTTTCTCCTTCCTTCCTTCGGAGTGCCTCTGAACGGCACTGGTTGCTTTGGCTGTTATCTCATTTTGTTCTGAAGAGACTTGAGGTGGAAGGACGCACGAATCCGCCCTCGCCGAGCTTGGCGGTTTTCCCTCGAATCGCTTACTTTTTTGCTGCTCTTGGTGCCCTCTTTTCTGTCACTCTTCGCTTTTTCTGTCCCCCCCCCCCCCACCCCGGGGGGAAACA